TCTAACAGGATAGTGTAGAAATGGTATAGGGAAACTGTTATTTCTTAGAGAACCATTTCTTTAACCACAGAAACTAGATTATGATATCAAATTACATATGTAACTGTGAAAAATAAATTTGGGACTTATGAGAGTCCACTGGTTAATACCGTAGTTCAACAGTACCAGTTCATGATTCACTCTCTCTGAAGTAAGGTGCCCATGCAACACTGCTATTACTCAGGTATTTGAGATTATTAATCAGGAAGACCAGTTCAGTAATGAACAATGAAAATTCCATATCGCTGTCCTATAAACTCTCATTTGGCTACATCGATAATAAAACTTCTCAACAAATAATAAAGTCGAGTAAAAGCATCCTTCAGAAGCGTGATTTTTACTACTGAGGGCTGGAGTTGTGAAGTGTGGTGTACTGTAAATTCCAAACGAATCCTGAGCTAGAGGAGGGGTCGGCACCCGAAGGCCCAGATGCTTGTTTTGGTTTTACTGGTATGTATTCAGGCCCCTTCATTTCTGTATTGATAGTGGTGGCTTTAGAGCCACAGTAGCAAAATTATTTCAGCAACCATGAGGTTGCAAAATCGAGCCCGACTCTCTGAACTACAGAGTATTTTATACGACCTTTTAAATATTCCTTTTATTCAAAAACCTTCCTGGCTGAGATTTTTTAGGACAAAAAAAGGAAACCCGACTGAACTGAAACTATTACAATTCAAAATGACCCGTGCTTACAGCCCGGTTTTGCTTTGGTACAAGCAGGCTGACGTCTACGAGGCCTGGCTTTTCCACCGACCGCCGTGATGTTCAGTTGTCACTTCTCTGTCAGGGACGCCTGCTTCATATTCTCCCTTAGGCTCCTTATTCCTCTGCTACTGCCACACTTCCCAGGACGCTTGCTTCTCGGTCCCTGTCGCCTTGCCCCCTTTTCTTTTCACTAGTTTCACTAGTGTGTTTCATGTACTCTGGATTTGGCAGAGGAACCAGAAGCTCTGATCATCCTGCTTCTATTTGATACATTGTTATTTAACAAATCTGTAGTTTTAGCTTATTAAAAAAAATGTGGTGTTTTGTATTTTACCATTTGTTTGGACTTACATACTTATTCACATGCTAATTCCCTGCACCTCCGCGCTGCCCCTTGGGCGCACTTCCTCCAGAAGTGTGGCCAGCTCTCTGGGGGGCGCCCAGGGACACCGGGCCGGCAGCAGCCTCGGGTCAGCGCGGGCCGCGTGCAACCCACTCGCTCCTGTTCACGTCAGGAAACGCTCTCTTCAAACCTATCCTGTCTGCTTTCTCTGTGTCTCAAGGACTCATTGTAATTTCTTTTCTAATAGAAACCTTTCCTGTGGTCCAACCAAATACTGATTCATTCATTGAAAAAACAACAACACACACACATCTTTTCCGTGTTGGAGGGAAAAAGAGGATACACTGATACGTGCTTAGACCTCAGTCTTGACATGGAAGTCACACATGTGGTGTTCTCTACATTACTAGCTCACTAATGAAAAATCAGCCCAAATAATGTTTACATACAGAAATAAATACACATGTCCAATTTCTCATGACTGTCCCTAACAGTAATTCTGAAAGGGAACCTTTAGTAGCAGAAAAAGCACTGGCTTTTGAATCATAACCTTGATTCCATTATATTCTGATTGACTTTCAGATAGTTGCCAACCTCCTTGAGAAAAATGGTTTTCTTATCCATAAAATGGAGATGAATATACCTATGTATTTGGGTTGACAGAAATTAAAGATTATACACACAAAGTGCTTAATACATATTAGATTTTCCATAGATGTTAGTTTCTTCTTTTGCTATGTGGTTAGTTAAAAATTAAGGGTTTTAAATTCCTACTTGTACCATAAATTTCATTTTCCATTGCATTAAATTTAAAACATAGTTGTCCAGTAATTATTGCATAGTTTAATTTCAAATATTCTAGCAATCTCTACTCTTTGTTTTTGTGATTCCCTCCCCTCGTTAGTTGTGATTATACTGAGTTCTTCAATTTCCGTTTATTGTTTTGGCTTTTTTTCTATGTTAATAAAACATACCAGATAGATAATATGCCAAAAATGTCAATGAACCTGATAAACTTCTTAAATGAAATACTTTTAAAATGAATTTATAACAATCCATAAGGATTCTACTTTTGATAAAAACCAGAACAAACCAGACTTCATAATACAGACATTGATTGTAATGTAAAAAAAATGCACTGGAATAGCCTCATTTTAGCAACTATGGATTTTTAAAAGAGCACAATCAATTTGTTTTAAAAAAAAAAAAAGGGCCAAGAAAACGATAGGGTATCCATTAAAGAGGCTTATGCAATAATAAAATGAAAGTAATTAATTTTGAAAAAGGAGAACTAAATTTTACCAGGCTGCTTTCATAAAGGTAAAACAAAATCTTTCATCTAGAATAAATAACAGCTCTACATGGTTACAATTGATCTGCCATCAATAGAACCATCTCTGAATGTCACTAACTTAGCTACAAAAATCGAGGCTCAAACCCAAGAAAACAACATTACAGGCACAAGTGAAATGAAAAATAAGCTAGTTAAAAGTCAGGCAACTTACAAGCAATAATTTAGTGCCACAATACATTATTTATAGAGACCCTTCTAGAATAACACATTAGGGCCTAGTGTATATGTAAATCAAGCCAGAAGAGGCTTTTAATGGTGGAATCCTCTCAATGACCTGGAACATATTTTCGGAATAAGGGATAGAGAACAATGAGTGGTTCAGGTCCTTTCTAGTGTATAAAGAATTACATCTTATTTTGTTTGTCCCACAGGAAGGAGAGGCATATCAGGAAGAAATACAGTTTGAGATATGGCTAAAAAGAGCACACGTAGGGACGTCTCATGTAGTAAATGACCGGAGCCTAAGGACCTAAGTTAAAAAGGATCCTATGAAGGTTTTTATCTTCAGGGGTAACACCTTCGGTGGGTAGAAGAGGTCATGGAAAGAGGGGGGAAATAAGGAACCATTTCTTTTTGTTTATTTGTTTTTTATTCTGACTTATGAATTTGTTTCTAACTAACTGACATATAACACTATTAGTTTAAGGTATCAATGATTTGATATTTGTACGTACTGTGAAATGATTACCACAGTAAATTAACATCTATCACCTCTTATCCTTACAGACTTTTTTCTGTGTGTGTGATGAGAACTTTTAAGATTTACCCTCTAAGCAACTTTCAAATATACAATACGGTATTGTTAACTGTTTCTTTTACTGCACACTTAGCAGACAAGGTTGCGGCTGGGGAATTAAGTCCTCGCTGAGGAAGAGCTGACAGGCACAAAGAAATCAGATCGTGGTCCTGTGGCTTAAGCCAAGGGTCAGGCTGTGGCTGTGCCTCAACTGTACAGCTACGCGTGTCAGCAAGATCTCTTTAAGCCTATCTGAGCTGGGTTCCGTTGTCTGCAATATAAAGAGTCCATCTCATAAAGTATGGGAATTATATAAATCTTTCATGAACTAAAAATCAGTACTTGTGGACTGTGACAACCAGTTTTTAATACAGTTAGCAAAAATAATCCCCCGGGGATGAAATTATGTAGCAGTTTACATAGGCACTTTTTAATCTTTTCACGAGTGTGGGGGAGGAATACACAATTACTGGAAATCTTTGTGAGCACATCCTACCACAAATCCTTAATGTACCACAGAGGCAAAAATATTATTTCCATTTATTTGGTCTTTTGGAGAACTTAGTATGGTGTGTAATATCTAAGAATTACTATTGATGTATACCAAAATCCCCCCAAGACTCACAAAACCACACATTTAAGACATCCTATAATTGTGTTTAACACCGAGTTTTAGAGGACTTGAAGTAACTGTTTTCAGAGTGGTATCTTTAAAAAGGTCTCAAGACATATGCTACCTTCTTTCCCAATTTTCTCTAAATTTTACTGAAGCTGACTCCATGATGCATAAAATCCTCTTCAGTCTTAGTTATAATAAAGCTATTTATTAAGCACTTATGTACCAGGCACGGTGGCAAAATGCTTTACATACACTTACCCTTTTAATTTCTTTCTTGCTTCTTCTATCAGGGCTTTATTTTAAAATACCAAATGAAATGTTATAAATAACACTTTCCAGAGCATGGTCATGAAATGATAAGCTTGGGACCAATACCAGTGCCTTATTTTATTAAGATTTCTGTCTCCCAGCATTTGCAGGTCCAGTCTAGTACAGCTAAAATGGTTGCAAATGGTGCCTTAATTCCTGAGGCTGGAGTCTGAACTCCATCTAATAGCTTATAATAGCAAAGGTAAAACACTGGAAAACTCCAGGTTTACCACAATCTCAGTAACACCAAGACACCAGATGACTTGGAGAGCCCTTACTTAGAGCAAAGTGCCTCTAAAACCTCACTCAGTGTGTACTACAGCAAAAGAAGTTTACAGTTTCAAACCAAGGTTACTCAAAGCACGGTCCGTGGATGTGTTACTAGTCCACAGCATCTATATTATTAAGTAATATAGATACTTACTTCAGGTAAGTTTTTTTTTTCCTCACAGCAAACTATTCCTTAAAAAATTTTTTTTCTTTTTTTAACTTATTAGTTTTAGGGGGAGAGAAACATCAGTTTGTTGTTCCACTTATGTATGCATTCACTGATTGGCTCTTATATGTGCCCTGACCAGGGATCAAACCTTCAACCTCGGCACTTCGGAATGACACTCCACTCAACTGAGCTACCTGGCCAGCACTGCTCACACCACACTATTTTTGATGAAGGAGACTGTTGTTTTGTATTCCAGCCCAAGCTCCTTACCCATTATGGACTAGTAACAAATAGTTCGTGGACCAGCTATTTTGGGTTACAGTGTTCTAGACCTCAATTTTCCATACTACTAGTTTTCTGTCCCTGAGGCCAAACAAAATTTAAGTTAACCAAATACTTGGCTGAAACAGTCACACAGTAATGAAAAAAGCAATGAAAATTAGCCATTGAGCTCACCTTCGACAGAAGCAATTTCACGCAGGAAACATGACCTTCATAGACAGCAGAGAGAAGAGGGGTGATATGATGTTTATCTGGAGCCTGTGAAATAATAAAGAGATAAGCCACTTTATCCATCTTTCATTTCTTTCTAGATATAATGAGGGAACACCTGTGAATATTTTAAACATTTCATTTCATTTCATTTATTTTTAGAGACTGGGGGAGGGGGAGAGAAAAAAACATCAATGTGCGAGAGAAACATCAAGCGGTTGCCTCTTGAACACCCCCAACCGGGGACCTGAACTGCAACCCAGGTATATGCCCAGACCGGGAATTGAACTGACGACCTTTCGGTTTGCGGGACAACACTCAACCCACTGAGCCACACCAGGCAGGACCACCTGTGAATATTTTAAAGTCAATAGTTACCTATCTGCCTTTCTCTACAAAATCACTTCACACAAGCTTCTACCCCTAGAGAGGTGCCCTCTAGATGCCCGAGCCCACAGCAAGGTTTCTCCTTGGGAGTCAGAGTGAAGTAGAGGGAGTAGGGCTTTGGCCCCCATTCAAATCTTGGCTCTGCCACTTGCTGTGTGACAAGTTTCTTACTCTCTCCGAGCCTCTACTCCCCACTAGTGTAGAAATGCCAAAGAGGTTCTGGAAGGGAAGAACATGAAAGGGCAAAAGACGGCCGCAGCGGGGCCAGGTGACACGGTGTTCCCGGACATGTGGAAGTTCGTCTCACTTGCTGTCATGGTTACTTAAACATTTTTCTAAAACTCTGAAATGCAGAAGCCACAAAAGGCAAGAATCAGGGGATGAAGGCTCCTGTCTGACCACCTGCCTACTGACCTCTGCCCAAAAATGCGTTTAAGATTTATCACACGACTGCAGAGTCCTACGCTCCACCAGTGACAGCCATTTGCTACCTACAGGGAGTGCTAACTCTCAAGGTGCGTTAAAACTTGAAAAGCAACAGCCCAGGGGGATACGTCTTGACCCTGAGCTTACAAGTCAGTCAGTTCTCTTTATTCTTAGAAATCCCAACTATCTAAGTTACAGAAATTCTGGTATAATTTCAGACTGTATTATTTAAAATGAGATTTTCACAATAACCATTTTACACTTCGATATGAGGTAATCACCCAACAGCATACAACAAGGATTTTTCTAGAATGACAATGTTCTTTACATACATTAATATCTGCTCCTTTCAGCAGCAGGAATTCCAGGATTTCAAGCTGCCCACAATCTGCCGCGTAATGAAGAGGTTTCCTTCCACCTTCCAGTGTCCGGTTGACATCTTCTCCCTTATAAAAGAAGCCAAATAGAAACAATATTTATATGGACTGTAGACTGCAGGAGGGAAGGCACTTGATATTTTCACTTTCTTAAAGCTCTAACAGTTTCATGAAATAATTGCATTTCTTGTAAAGTGAAGTAACCAGACACTTGAAACGAAATTCGGCGTGATATAGCAGTAAGCATCCAGTAGGACAGTAATTCAAACCATGATTTGTCAAGCTGAAAACGATACACAATAATGCTAAATGTAATAAAATATATTACTGTGCTCCATTTCTAAGAAGTTCTATCAGCATAATGTCAAGAGATGGCCACATGAGACGGATGAGTTCAAATACTGACACTTTTACACAGATCATATTACATGTATTTTAATTCTTCAAAGAAATCACTAATGGTGTCAAGACATCATTATCACAAGATAATCAGTATTGGCTATTAAGAATTCATTCCATTCATTCATTCATTCAACATTCACGAAAGTCCTATTGTATGGCAGACACTGTACACAGGCGACAATGGTGAGCAATCAGACATGGCTTCTGATTGCATGGCGCTTACCATGTAGTGTAATGTCATGGTTAAACATCTTTCAAACTAACTGCTATGAAGGAAAGGAACTCAGTGCTACACATGCACTTTTCGGGAGAATGTGATGATCTTGGTGATGGATAGATGGGGAGGAGGGGCAGTGCTGGAAAAATGAACTTAAGGCCTCAAAAAGGAGTTTTCATTCACTGAGGATCACCAGAGGTTCTAACAGCAATACACTTATTTACCCCCTCTGCTGACCAGCTACCAGGTTTGGCGCTGTGTAATCTCTTACTTTTAATCCCAGAAGGAGAAAACTTACATTTAACATACGAAAAGTCTAAGGCTGAATAAGGTTAAATAACTTTTTAATGTGGCTCTGTTAGTAGCAGAATGGAGATCTACACCTAGAAATCACTGCATTGCCTCCAACTCAGCGTTCGCCCCTTTTATGGAAAAAAGATTTTTACCAAGTAGCAAAATGTTAGAATTTGTTTTCTTAACTGCTGTACTATTCACCTAGCTTTGTTTGGTCGCCTCATGAAGGCATGTCCTGAACTGAGATACTCAGAGCCCTGTCATTTTAGAGCCATTATGAGCTGTTTGTTGAAGCAAACTCTATACGGACACAGAAGGAAGGTGTGTTACGGGCTTTAGGTCACTGGTGACTGGGTTACCCCCAGCAAGTAACTCTACTCTTGCTTGTGAGATCTTAGGCTATTTTCTAAATCTGTTTCCTGATCTGTAAAATGGGAATGAAAATACTTACATCTCACAAAGTTTTAGTGTATCACTAAAGGACATAACTCAGGCAAAGTATGCAACACAGCGCCTGGCCCTGAGTAGACGTAAAAGGTTAACTGTGATTTCTGTGGATCCCTGATGTTTTTATACTAGTTTTAAAAGACTACTCAAACTTGGGTTAAGACAGGTTTTTGCACAGCAGTTGAACTGTACAGAAAGGTATGATTTCATGTAATATACTTAGAAACATTTAAATAGTAAGAGCAATTTGGTACACCACCTTAGTCTTTATTCACAAGTGCAGAAATATGAAGCTCTGAAGTGAAGATACTGCTTAAATGATTCACAGATAAAAGTGTTTTAACTTTTATATCATACTTCCTTTCCATTATTAGTATTAACTGGATAGGAAGGTCTCTTTAGTGAAACAAAGCAAAAAAACACCTGCAGTGTGCAATCAATAGGACACCGCTGTCAAAAAAGATATTTTCCTGGATCAAACATTTGCTGGCTTCCTTCCCTACATAGTACATGCAAAATACACAAAACCTGGAGCTGTTGTGTTAAAACCTTTTCCTTTCTCCCTGCAGACCCTGATTTTATGATTTTTATTTAAGTAAAAAAATAACACTGGAAAGGCTTTGTGTTATTGACAGGAAAGAAAGGATCCTCTTCTGCAGGACCTTAGCAAAAGCAGTACCTATGTAAAAACCTATAGTACTAAACACTTGTATTGGCAAAGTAGAAAGGTCTCAAATGATGCTTTTTACTTTTACTTTCAGAAACTAGGGGGGAAAAGCTATATGGAAATCTCTGCACCTTCTGCTCCATACTGCTGTGAACCTAAAAATGCTCTAAAAGATAGTCTATTTAAAAACAATTTAAATCCAAAGCAGGAGAAAAGAATAAAAATCAGAGCAGGAACCAATGCAGTGGAGAACTGAAAATTAATAGAAATCAAAAACTAAATTTCTAGCTGGAGTTATCATTGAGCAAGAGAACGAACACAAACACCCAAGCCCCAGATGGCTACACTGCTAAATTTCACCAAACATTTAAGAAAAAAAGTAATAGTAATTCTACATTGTTTCAGAAAATGGGAAGCATCCAACTCATTCTGTGAGGTCAGCACTGCTCTGATTCTAAAATAGGACAAAGACATTACCAGAGAAGAACACCACAGGCTAATATACGCCATGAACACAAAATCTGAATAAAATTTAGTGAACTGAATCCAACAGTATATAAAAAGGATGATATACCATGACCAAGTCAGAGTCATCCCAGGAATACAAGGTGTGTGAAATATTTGAAAAGCCAGTCAACATAATCCACCATTTTAATAAACTAAAACAAACAAAAACAACACACACGATCACCTGAATAGATGATGAAGCATCTGACAAAAGTCACCATCTATTCCTGCTAGAAACACTCAGTAGAAAAAGAAGGAAACTTCCTTGGCCTAGTAAGAGCTTTGTACAAAAAACTACAACTAACATCATACCAAACTGGTAAAAGACTGCTTTTCCCCTAAAAATCAAGAAGAAGACAAGATATCTGTTCTGACCACTCTTAGTATTGTACTGGAGAGTCTGACCAGTGCAGTAAGGCAAGAAAAGCATCATTTTTTAAAGGAAGAAGTAAAACTGTCTTTGCAAATGCCATGGTTGTGTATGTAGAAAATCCAAAGGAATGTGCCAGAAAGCTACTAGAACTAGTTATTTTAGCAATTTTGCAGGACAAAAGATTAATGTACAAAATCAACTGCATTTTATACTAGCAATGAATAAATGCAAATCAAAACTAAAAACAGAATTTATAATGGCATTCAAAAATGACATTTAATGATTAAGTCTAACAAAAATGTGAAATACCTGTACACTGACTACTGAACACTGTTGCAAGAAATTAGAGAGGACATAAATAGGGAAATATATACCATGTTCATGGATGGGTTGGAAGACTCAATATTGGAAAGATATCACTTCTGCCCAAACTGACAAATAGATTTAATGCAACACTAGTCAAAGTCTCAACAAGTTTTTTTTTTTTTAATTGACAGAATGACACTAAATTTCACATGGAAACAAAAACGATCTGGAATAGCCAAAACAACTTTGAAAAAGAACAAGCTGAAGGGCCAACACAACCTGATTTCAAAAATTATTAAAAACTGCAGTAATCAAGAAAAGGGTGGCACTGTCATAAAATTGTAAACTATTCAAATTTATAGTGATAGAAAGCAGATCCTGGGAGGAAGGGACTGAGGAGGGGCACTTTAGTGTAACGGATATGTTATCGTCAGAGTGGTGATAGTTTCAGAGGTGTGTACATGTCAAAACTTATCAAAACTGTACACTTTAAACATCTGCAGTTCTATTTCAATTATACTTCAATAACACAGATTTTTCTGAAATCAAATTTTTGTGCCTCTCTTCTTATATGAGATGCTAATCGGTATTTGAGGTAGGATAGAGCCCAGGATGACCAATAGTACTTTCATGAGAGAACTTAACAAGCAAAAAGCTATTTGAGGTTACGTTCCCTCACTGGTAAGTGCTGAAGGAAAAACTCTTGACTTAAATATACTGTAACTCAACTAACTGCATGGAACAAGTTTTAAAATGGGATTAAGAGAGGATCAGTGTGAACCCTACTGGCTGGGTGGGCTTCAAAGATCAAAGCAAGTGTATGAATTGCTGGAAAAAAACCTCTCCACTGGTATCCCAACTTCCAGCTCCATTTCGCCTACTCCACTCTGCAGCTACAGGAGTGTTTCCAAACACAAAATGTGATTGCATCATTCCCCTTTTAAAAGTACTTTCCTGGCTATCCACTGCCCCTTAGAGGATAAAGTTTAAACATAGCTTAGAAGGTCTGGAGTGCTTTAGCCTGATCTAGCCCATGAAGACCTTTCCAACTTCCATTCCCCCAGCATTCCGCCCTCCCTTTCCTTTGTTTAGCTAACTCCTACTAACCCTCCAAAATCAAGCTTTAATAAAACTTCCCCTGGAAAGTAATCCCTAACCATGTCAACTTTGAGAGCTAAGACCCTCACAGGTGTGCCGAAAGTACTTTGTACTTTCCTATGTCATCACACACAACACCCTACTCAAACTGCCTGTACCTGTATCCCTATGAACTTGGGTCAGAGACCATGTTTCCATTATTTACTTTTGCATCTCCAGTGCTCTGTACAATTTGTGACACACAGTAAACATTTGTGTAACAGAAGCTTTTCGATTAAGTAAATGGTTAGGTTGCTCTAGCAACAGACTCGGAAGTCAGTCATACATGACATCTTCCATTTCAACCAAACACGGGTAAGGCATTAGTTATCTAGTAATAGCAGTAGTAACTTGAGAACAATGATATGTTTACCAATATAGGGAGTGTGAATGACAGTTTCACCGGGTTTTCAGTGGTCTGGACATATAGTAACTTCAGGAGTGGTGGTGAAATGGGAAAGGAAGACAACGCTCCATCTAGTTCCTATCTTCCCACACTCCACCGATATTCTAGGCATTACTGATACCACCAGAGAGGAAGTTAGATAACTGTTCTGTAATCTCGATTCTAACCTCATGAAACATAACCTATTACAGAGAAAAATCTAATCCTAATTTTGTGTCCCAGATTCTTGGGCTAGGGAGGAGAAAATTTCTGCACGATGTCAACAGGTCCCTTAGCATTATATGACAATCTAGCCATGTTTTCCTTTTCACCT